TATATATACCATTGATTTTTTTTTTTCTTTCACATTAGTCTTTTCTGAGAAGCCTGAGACTAAAAAATAAATTACACAGACCTGCTAATAGTAAGCATGGATAGAATTAAGTCTTTTTTTATAGACCCCAGTTCAGTATTTTGTTCAAGCTTAGACAAACTTGCTTCTGAGCAAACTTTTGCAGCAGTGGCTGAGGCACACACTGGCCCAGGTATTGTTGGAACAGGATGAAAGCTACCAAGATTTCCATAAAAATATACCAGACACACCCCTTCAAGCACAGTGGAGCAGCTCCTACATGTAGCATTTCTATTTGCTCAAAAGTCCATACACTACATGTAGCTGACCAGTCGCAATGGCTGGGGGGCACTGAGGGGATGTGTTGGCACAGCAATTTTTAAAGTCATGAAACAGAAGCATGTGGGAGAGAAAGCACAAGGAGCAATCACTTGAATAAATCATGTCCTCCATTTCTCTGTGCTGATAATTTGCTGAATCTGAACCACCACAAAAATAATGCACTCGACTGGTTTTGTGTTTTGTTTGCTGTAAGTTACAAAAATACACAAAGAAAATTTATGCTCATAGTCAAGTAATTTGGAGAGCAAGTATGGCATACAATGGACAATAAAAGAAAGCAGTATGAGAGACACAAGGTTCCCTCTTACCCTATCATGCTTAATACCCCTGCATATGTTGTTGAGTGCAGATTAAGTGAAATGAGTTCTTCAATAGAAGTAAAAAATAAACATCAGGGACTCTCTAATACTTACTTCTCAATTGCATTGTTCCATAACTTTCTGAGGAATGGAGAGTTTAAGAAAAATAGAGGTTCTTTCTTTACGGCTGGACATTTTTAAGTTATCATTTGTAAAACCACATAAAATGATTTAGTTGTCAAAGAATAACTGAATTACATAAATAAAACATTACATAAAAGACATCTCAGTACAATTTATGTGAAGTGAATTTCACAAGAACCAGTCTATTGTAGAAAATTCAACTTATCTCTTCCTGATCCTTTTATTCTATCTAAACATAGAAATTTATGTCAGTTCAAAAAAAAAAAAAAAAGCTATTACTGTTTGTCATAACTGAATCCATTATTTTCCCTCCATGATCCATCAGGTAAAAACAAGTGCAATAGACAGTTCTAGCAGAGCCTTGAACATAAAAGGCCTCAAAAATAGAATGAGATCTGTTAAACCTATCTTGCTGTGCACTATAACTGGAAATGATAACCTTGAGGTTTAATTTAAAACAAGTCATAGAAAAGACTTCTGACTGTAATTGTTATCTGTCACATAAATAAAATTATCATGAAATGGAAATGGGCTTGAAAAGGTACAGTTTTGCTTGTTGCATTGCCTGTAAGCAAATGGAACTCTGTGAAGGTTTATCACTCTTTGCTGCCTTCTTCCTCCAGTCTTTCTTAATAATGGATCCATTCAACTGCAAATATATGGAAAGAGCTGAAAACCAATTATTAATTTTCCCTATTACTTTTTATTTCCAGAGCTTTACTGATTCTGTTGCATTTAGCGATTTTGTCTCCCTTTTTTCCCTGCTAGCCCAAGGAAAAACAAAAATCCAAAATTAGACCTCATATTAGAATGGAAGTATTTCCCTTGTATGGCAGCAGTTTCCAGACAGGCAAAATGAGGGAATGATTGCAAGTGCATGGATTAGGCCGGAAAAAGAAACCAATGGACCTCAGAGCAGCACCTATGCTTCCCAAGCTTGGCCTCCACTGGATTGTTCAGAGAGGCAAAGGAACTCTACCAGGCACCAGATTTAGTGTAATTAGAGCAAGAGGAAAATGAACAGCCTGTTTTTATGCTTTTCCTTGCTTTTCAATTTGCTGTGAAAAGAAAGTGCACTGGTCTCAGGACACATAGCAGAGAGATGGAAACAGAGCTCAGGCTTGGAAGTCAAAGATTCACCACACCTTTTCACCTACAGTGCATCTTGGGGAGGACAGACATGCACGGGCTGCCTCAAAGACAAACGCAAAATTAATTTACTTGTTGTAGTGCCTATAATGAGACACACCAAAGTGAAGCTACCTGCTGCTTTTCAGACAGCACTGCAGGTCTCCCACCCTGGGCCAGCACGCAGGAGAGGCAGCTGGCAGACCCAAACTCCATTAAGCAGCTGTGGCTGTGCAAGCACGCAGAGAGAAAGAGTGGCAGGATACAAGAGCAGGGAAAGGTGCCTGCCAGCAACAGCCCAGTGTGCCAGGCTGCATCACCTGGAGGCCATCACATGCAGCTGCCTGCTCCTCACACAGTGCAGCAGGGTGCAGCTCACTTGCAGCTTCTGCTCCTTTCAGCCTCAGGTGGCTCCTGAGGCTGCACTTGGTAGAGGGAGCTTGAAACAGCTGATTGCAGTTTGCAGCAGGTGGATTATTACACACCCTCCTCAGTGAAGGGTCTCGTCTCTGCCAGATTCCTTCACAGCAGCAACCACAGAGAATCCTGCCAAGGGTGTTCAGAGGAAAAATGAAGTTTTGGGGCACTGATTCACCATCTCAAGGAGCCTCTCTCTCCTTTGACTATAGGAGAAATTAAGGAGACAAAGTCACTTTAGCTGGACAAACAGACTTTCTGCTCCTTTAATGTTGGTTTCAGAATATATTCATTGTACAGGTGGGATTTCTTCAAAATTACTGATGTCACTTCAGTGGAGTTCTGCAATATCCTGTTGACTTCCACCCAAGGGCAGAGGCCAGCACAGAGCAGCTTGGACCAAATTAGTGTAATTTGGAACTCTGAAAACTTTCCTATTTCCTAGCTGTCAATTTTTTTTTTTTCCCTAGCAGCTTGTCTCCTTTGAAATGCACACATCTATGCTGATCTTTTAGCAGCAGTTTTGGGGTTTGGTTTGTTGCGTTTTTTTTGGGTTTTTGGGCTTTTTTTTATTGGGCAAACTCAGCTTTTATTTGCAACATCCTTGATGTCATAAGTCTGAAAAATCGTGTTAGAAATACTGCTTAAACAGGAAGATCACAAGTTTGATGCAGAGATCTTTCCACATAAGAGCATTCCAATTATTATTACAGAAACCCACTCTGTGGGCTTGGTTAACCTCATACTGTAACAGTGTTAAACACAGCTCCTAGCTAGACAAGAGATGCATGGATTGATGGAAGTTTGATAACCATAAATAATATCTTGTTGAGGCCATGAGCCAGAAGTTAGCACAAGTCTCAAAACAAGCATGGATGGAGGACAGCAGGAGACTTTGACTGGGAATCTCCCAGGCTCTTCCATGCCAATTCTTATCAGATGGGTTTGGCAAAGCCGTTCAACCTCTTCTTCTTTCAGAGTGGATGATTACTTTCCAAAAATCACATGGATGCTATGACAGCTAATTAATTATAGCTGTGTTATGCTTTACAAATTTAATTAGTATAAAGAGGATTAGTAGAGAGAAACACTGCACAGAAAATTAAGTTGAACTTAGACACAGTGTTGGAAAACCACTGTAGTGAGATAGAAAGAGGAGAAAAATTATAAATAAGGAAAGGGCTTTTGAATAATGAGTACTTAAAGAGGTGTGTATGAAAGAAATGAGCAGTGTGCTACCTTCCAAAGTAAGAGGAGGGGGAAAGGAAATTAAAAATTAGAAGCAAGGCAAGCAAACAAGATGAATAGATTTGAAATATAAAGTGAAGATAATCATACGGAAAAGATGTAATAAAAGCCACCCAGATCCAGTAATGGATCTTACTGATATTAGAGGAAAATGGTAGCACACTTGTATTGACCTCACACTATGTCAACACAATACAGCTCTTAATTCCTGAATTATATTGTTAAATAATTAACTGATGAATCATAAGTAAATAATTAAAACTTGGTTCTGTAAGCCTCACAACTGAGAAAATAAAACTGTCACAGTGATACCAGATTTTAGCAGAACTGGTACCGTGGTTAGGGAAAGGGTAAAAACTTTAATGTCTATAGCCAGCTATACAGAGTGCTGGAAGAAGCACCTGGGCTCCATTTCTCTATTGAACAAAATAAAATGGATCATCTGTTACTTAAATCTCCTGTATTAAAGTTGAACCTGAAGAAAGTAGAAGAAAAGATTACTAATTACTCTGCAAAATACCTAGACTTGCCCTGCTGGAGAGGGTTTGTGATTTGGGGAAGCAGGATTAAAAAGACTGTCACTCTAAAACACTGAGACAGTCTTGAGTTCATGTTAAAGTATCCTTTCATCCAATATCCCTAAAATTAAGAGCCATAAAATAAACCCTCACAGTTGAATGGACAATAACTCATAGATATTTAACAATCTTAAGAACAAACAACTTCTAATAATAATTCAAAATAATAATTTTGTTTATTCTTGTAAAAGGAGTGCAGTAGACAAAATATAAAAAGATCAGCCTGTGCATCTACAAAACAAAATAATTTCTTATCTCCCATGAATATCTCCCATTATTTTCAGATATAGCAAAAGCACATGTACTTCAATTCCAAGCAAGGCAATTAATTTGGATTCTAACAAATCAGAGCCATCAGTCACAGGATTACTTTTATTATTTTTTACAATGAAAGGACTCTGAGAGCACAGATCCTGCTGTGTAGAGCCATCACATTCCTTCCTGAGAACAAACTGATAGGAATGAAAAGTCTAACAGTAAATAATTATTCCAATAAAGAAATTGCAAAAAGATACAGTAGTTACTTAGCTAGACTAATTTCAATTGTTTGTTCTTTCAACATGTTGTTTTAAAATAAATAGAAGACTAATTTTTAGAAACATCCACCCTCCAGCTTCCTGATGCTTTGTCTTGCAAAACACTTGCCAGCAGCAAAAAATTTAAAAGTCTTTGAAGATCAGGGAGAGGATGAAGTGTACCAGGATTCTTCAGACCCCCAAATAACCCCACACCTGGGATTAGGCTGACTCCACAGCCTCTGCTAGCCACGTTAGCTAGGACATGTCCTTCAGGAGCATCCTGAGGGCTCATGTCCCATGGCCTGGGCCTAGGTAAAGGAATAGATCTCGTTGTTGAAGTAGTTCTCCAGCTGGTCACTGAGGGAGTCAAAGGTGGGCCGCTCATCAGGCTCTGCATTCCAGCACTTCTCCATCATCCCGTAGAGTGGCGCTGGGCACGTCTCCGGCTGAGGAAGTCTGTACCCATTGTCCAGCAGCTGGATCACCTGGTGTCCTGGCATACCTGCAGGCCAAAAGGAGTTCATCAGGCTACTCCGGATCTGCTTCTGGGTGCTGTGTGTTCATCTCTCTTCAGCACAGAATCACCACAGAATGGTTTGGGTTGGGAAGGACCCTAAAGACCACCGGGTTCAAAGCCCCTGCCCTGAGCAGGGACACCTTCCACTAGAACAGGTTACTCAAAGCCCTTCCAGCCTGGCCTTGAACGACTCCAGGGACAGAGCCTCATCTCTTAATGTTTACCAGCAATTAAAAACCAACTCCAGCATTTCCCCACCACCTCACCCTGACTGTGCCAGCTGCAAGGCATCACAAATAAGTTTGTCTGCATGTGAGGCATTTCATCCACCATTTGGTTTTGTCAAAATTTATCAGACATCTATTTAGCTTGAATAGTTCCTAAATGCCTCTAGTCTCAGTGACTATAAAGTCTCCTAAGAAAACCTGATCTGCTGCTGAATTTTCCTCACATTTAGAAACATTTTCCCTAAAATCAGCCCTATTTCTACAAGGGCAGCTGGGCAATGTTATCCCCTCTACTCCATCACCACCAGTCATGGAGAAGAAACCATTCATTTCCCCATCTTTGCTATACCTTTATATACTAAGACTACTGTCCTGTTCTCTTCCAATTTTTTACTCTTTAAATTAAATCTTGAATTGTGTTAATTTCTTTTCCCTAGATCTCTGATGGTGCTTCCTCTGCACATTATCCACTGCCAGCACAAATCAACATAAACTCTTCTAACTCATTACTGAGAACAAACTCCTGAAAGTAGTACCAAGTAATAAAATAGTAAAATGACATTTTATGCTCTTAAGATACAGATGCCTTTACAAAGAGGTAAAACTGAATGAGTTTTCAGACAATATCCAGAGCTATGGTGTTACATATTTTTTATACTAAAATGATTTATTTATCTGTGCATGTGTCCATATGTACACAACTACAGTTTATAAAAGACTTCAGGATATTTTGCTTGGCTCTTTTTTCTTCAGAACAATTTTGCAGGAGGTGAGGGTGGGAATCAAAAAGCAAAATCAATTTTTCCTTTTACAGAAAATATCAGTTTGGGACCCTGTGAAATGTAGTTTATGGCAAACGCACCACCCCTCAGGCCTGTACAGACAACATAACTTTTTTTTGCTTTAGTTCTTCCCTTGTGTTCTACTCACCAGCACAAAATGAGTCACAGTCAATCATCTCACTGATATCTTGTGTTATTGGAGCCACAGTTCCTTGAGCATTTCTCACAGTACTAGAAATAGTAGCTGCTCTCAGACTACTATATCTACTTTTGAGATTGGTGACATTTTATTTTTTAATTATTTAATACTTGTGATCCTTTCCTTTATGAAGACTTTTCACTGCAACAATCATACATGAGGGAGGGGGGTAAAAGCACCCTGATTTATTTTTCAGACACCTTCTTTCTGAAGTGCTTGTTCAGTGCTTCACACATAATCTATTCTTCCATGGGATATACTAAAAAAAAATTCCAAAAGGACAGGTTGGGAAACAAAAACCCCTTCCTTTATTTCTTCCCTTTTTCACATTCCAAGAATTGGCATCTTTGATCTGATGATGGAGGAAAATAGCCAGCTGGCTTAGGTGCCTCTGAAGTGCAGATTGGTTCCATCAAGAGGAAGCTTGAATGTGTGCTAACCACAGCCTTTGCAAAGCTGCCAGGAGGCCCAGGGAAGCCAGAAGGTCTGCCCCACTAAATGGACCTCATCTGAAGAACCTTCTTCCTCTCTTTAAAATTTTAACCCTTTAACATGCCCATAGTACAGGCATTCAACCTTCTTTTTTTGTGTTATTCTGAAATCAAGAAAAAAATTAGACATAATTTCTTTAGGTAAAAGTACTTACCATGATAAGGCATCTGCCCATAGGTGATTATTTCAAACAGAAGTATCCCAAAGGACCAGACATCTGATTTAATGCTGAATCTGTTGTAGCGGATTGCCTCCGGGGCTGTCCATTTCACTGGGAGTTTTGTTTCAGGTCTAGCTTCATATATTTTTTCATTTTCTACCTATCATGGGTAAAACAAAACAAGCCTGGTTTCAGACCTGCTTCAGCAAACCACTTAAGCATCTGACTAAACTTAGCATGTGCTTAATCTTATCTTTTAACCAAACTCTTGTTTTTCAGGTAGGTACCCATTTTCTGAAGTCTACCATTGGATTCAGTTTTGCAGTTGAAAAGTGCAGAGGCTTCATCAGAGGCTTTTCTAAGGCATTTATCATTTCAAGCTTACACACCATTGGAGTGGCTCCTGATTAATTATGACTTGCTGCTGTGAATTCTGGACCTGGCATGCAAGATATCAAAAGTCTGTCAGGAGTGGCAGTGTAAGCGTCCTGCTGACACTAGAGACCAAATGTCTCCACGTCTGGTCTAGAGTAAAGAGAGAAGGCAAGAGCAAGAGCTAATGAACTTCAGAAGATTTCTTCTGTGATTTATTGTGTTGTTGAAGGGTCATTGACTTTGATAACAGTGGCTTAAGCTTCTTTTGGGGAAGAAAGAATAAACTCTGACTGATCCAAATTAACATATTTGTTTCCCCTGAGCTAATTAATGTAAAGTGTAGGTGAAAGAAACAAAAAAACTGTTGAGTTGCCAGTTTGTAGAACCATGTCCTTAAAGGTTTATCACAAGGACATCTAAATTTTGTGAACATTTCTTCTCTCTTTAATTCCTACACATAATTTAGTATACATAAGTCACACCTAAAGCCTCAGTCAAGTTTTTCACATGTAAATCCAGATGTACATGTACCAGATTTTGCTTTTTTGATTGTTTAAATACAGAATGCATATTTCCCAGCTGCAATGCTCAATGGTTTTGAAAATACTGGTTGTTATTGACTTATATCTCTATACTTATACAGCTGGTATCTTGACCATAACACTAATCTTTAGAAATAAGAAACATATGCATTATGAGCATTGTTCATTTAAAAAGATATATTTTTATGTTAAAGAACTTGTAATATGAAATTATGCATATTTAGAACAATCAAAATTAAATTAAAAGAATTTTCAAAGTCCCCTGATGCCTTTTTTAAGCCATTATTCTATATTTCAGTATGTAATAAATCAAATTCTGTTATAAACTTCAATTTCTGCTGTTGGAATGGAAAAACAAAATGAGAAGTAGAAGACCTTTTTCTCTGTTTTTCCTTCTCAGTGCAAGAACATAAATAAATAATAAAATCCAAGCACAGCCTCAGAAATTATGGATTTCATATTGAAATCCATAAAATATAGCAAAATAAATCTTTCCAACACTGATTAAATAATTTTCAGAGGTAGGAAATCTCATTTCTAAACCATAGCTCTTCCAAAGGGATACTTTGGCTGGTGACCCTTGGCATTCTTTGCCTTCAAGGACTAGAGAAAAAAAACAAAACAGTGCAGTGGCAAAGAATTTGCATCAGACTTAAAGCTCTGAGAGCTAACTTTACAAATGTTGCTGTTAGCTGTGGAGAGGAATAAGGTCCTTTTATGACTACTACCTGTGATCACAAGCACCATGGAGGCAGAGGGGAAGTGAACAAGGAGAGAATATACGTCAATACATTTTTATATGCCTTCCCTTACAGGCCCAGGTGTACAATCTTTCCATCAGTCCTCTCCATGTTGCAAACACTGTGGATAAAGCCGGGTATTGCCAGGATCCTTCCTGGGTGGCTGGGAGGGAAGCAGACACCAAGATTCTTCAGACTGACGCAAAGGCACAGGACAACTTCCGACCTCGCATGCGATAACGCAGGTAGAAGATACAAGTGAACATGTTATAGGTCCTTTTCTCCCTGGCCTTGCCTTTGTCTTAACCCATCAATTCATTCTTTAGTTGGCCTCTTCCACCTTGTTCTCCAGAGTTAAAAGCAAGGACAATTAAGCCTCTCACAACCTACCTTAAAAACTCTTGCAAGTCCGAAGTCTGCCACTTTGTAAACATTGTGCTCACCAACAAGAACATTCCTGGCTGCCAGATCCCGATGGATATAGTTCTGAGATTCAAGGTATGCCATCCCAGAAGCTACCTGAGCAGCCATGTCTATTTGATGTGTCAGGGAGATTTGAGAGCCTCCATCTTCTGTTTAAAAAGGAGATGACAAGAACAACGTAAGAACATCAACAAGATGCTGATTTCAGACATAAATAACTGAAAACCTGCCTGCTTCAAAAAAGTCAACACAAATAAACCAAATCATGCAATAGAATAAAGTAACAGCCCCCACAAATGACAGAGATTTCTGAATGGCATTACTTATTTCCCAATAACTGAGTAATAATGCTTGTCCCATCTTCTCTAAAACAGTAGATACTACATGCAGGAGTTAATCAAGGCCAGGAAGGAGCTGCTGATGCAGTCCGAAAAGAAAATCTTTTATCTACTGATAGTAACATAGTATGCACCTTTCTGATATTAAGGGTTCATAAAACTGTTCTGAACTGTGAGTAAGAGTTTATGTCAGTACCCAGTGGTTGTAGCTAGAGCTGACTAAAGATGGAAAATCACAAAATTGTCCTTGTTCCCTGTTCTCCAATGATTCTGACTAGGAAAAATACCATCTGCTGTCAAGTATAACTCATTTTCACTTTCCAGTCCACTTGACTGCTTCATGCTGTTATCTCTGTTTTTGCTACCCAGGAGTAGGACTCCTTGAGATGATTTCAAGCTGCCTCCTTCCCCAGTAGAACTTTTTGAAGCAATGTGCATGCCATTCCCATCACCAAATTCCAGAAATTGAGAGTTGGCAATTGAAGATCATTGTTCAAACAACATAGGAGAAGAACTTTGAGCTGAGCAACTTGCCTCTACAAATTAAGGAAAGTCTCAGGCCATGAAAGGCTGCAGCCAAAAATTGTAAAACGGGTAACAAAAAAAAAAAAAAAAATCATTGGGGTATAACACATTAGAGTGCAAATTTGTGGCATTTTGGGAACAGCTAACCAACCTTCTCAATACAAAAAATTTAAACCAGGAGGTAATTGATTGCAAACCAAATCAGTATTACATTCAAGGACCACTTCACACAATCCCAAATACTGCAGCACTGAAGCATGGTTTTCTACCTCTGTAGCCTCTAACACTCAAAACAATTTCAACTTTGTTTCAGAGCCTTGATATCAAAAAGCTGAATCCTTGCTGCTAGGCTTATTGGCAGCTCTCTGTCATCAGCTTGGTGACTTTTACTTACTGCCTCTGTGTTAGAGGAATAAAACTTTTGTAGCTGGCAGTTTTCTCTCAATTATTTTTAATTGATTTACAGTGATAGCATGTCTTAGTACTGTTTTAAATAGCCTTCTCCAGTTCTGGCATTTTATTTGATGGAACTTTTTCATCCTACTTTACCTAATGTACACCTACCACGTTTCCATTTAAAGACATTCCCCCTTGTCCTGTCACTACCTGGCTCTTATAGGCTCCCATTAGGTACTGGGAGGCTACTCTAAGTTTATATCTAGCCAGCTAGCTATAGATATAGATATGTTTATATAACTTTCACACTCAAAATCAGGCACTACTGCTGAATTTATAAATTTATAAATAATCCCATGGATTATTCTTTAACTGATCGAGAAAATGTAGCACCTCCATGTCTTTTTTTACTAATATTTTTTGACAAAACCCTCAACCTCATATGAAAAATTTATTAGAGAAAATATTAAAGAAGTCTTCGGGTCTGCACCCCGTTCTAAGCAATCTATCATAATCGCTCATGTAGAAAAGACAGGAAAATATTCTCATTGACAGATATCTGACAATAAAAAAGAGAAAAATAAATAAGCAGCACTTTCTCCAGTGAGGGCATTGCCTCCACAATAATTCACTGAATTTCAAGACTGCATACCTGCCAGAACAAGCCCTAGGCCCATCAGAATTGATAAAAGCAGTCATACATTTATGACAATCTCATTCACTTCCAATAACAAAGAAAAGTTTTCAGGTGCATTTTTCTCATACTGGTGGCAGCTCAATAACTCTGCATAGCAGTGCTCATCAAGAACTCTCCCAAAGTACATTTACAGTGTGCACAGGGAATTCCCATGTCCATCATTATTAAGTAGCTGTCATTATGGGGAAATGTGATAGTAACTGTGAATAAAATATTAGGGACTTTTAAAGCTGGAAAAGCATACCATACTGTTCTAGGAGGGGAATAGGAACAAAGAATATCTCTGGACTTTCCTCCACTCTAGTTTGCTTTATTTACCCATAGTGCACACAGAGACAGAAGACTTCTGAAAATATTTTCCTGTTTCCTGCAGAGCCTGAATCTCAAGAAAACTTACCAGGAGCTGTGCACTCCAGCTGATATAGATCACTTCCAGCCACAGAAGTGATTCTATATGAGCTTCAAATCTCTTTTCTTATTAGTCTCACTGACAGCAATGACTTTTCTCTGGCCACAATACCTATCAAAAACCCTTGGATCTCTGCCTCCACCTCTTAGTTCTGTGCACCTCCCTGTGCATCGGCCATCAGACAGGGAGGGATACCACTAGACTGGGTTTCAACTGGGCATTTTTATGGATATCTTGGTGGCTGCATGGAAACCAGCTGACTTTCCACAGCCTCTGATGAAGAGCTGCAGGGGCGGGCACTTAGGCAAGGAGCAAAGTGCTGTGCTCATGCTGGCAGCTGATCCACACAGAGGCTGCAGCACTGATGTGCTCTGGACATGTTTACTCTATGCACACTAATAGGCCAATTTTCACCTCTGCAACAGCTGTGACTCATCCTGCCTTTCTCTGAGCTATGTCTCCAGTGCAATAAATGTTTCCATGCACAGCAATCATTTCCTGATGTGCCAGGCTCTTTCAATCAGATAAGCTGCAATCTACACACAAAGGCACCAAAGATGAGGATTTCAAGGAAATTTGTGCCTTGCTACCTCTGGCCAGCAAATGCCTACAGAACTGTGGATGATCTGGCCCAAGGTCATGGCAGATCCGTTGTGGGCAGCTCCTGGTAGGGCTGTCTCTGTGTCAGAGATTTCTTTAGCTGTAATTGTGCATGGACAGACTCTCATTTAAAAATGGTTCGGCAGAGAAGATGGGGGAAGGCATGTGTCATGGTAAATGCTGTCTGTGGTATTACACAGGGCTTTGCTTTATTGGCTGTAAACAGAGAAGAAATTCAGCATGACAACCGTGGCAAACATTTTGTCTTCAAGAAATCATTACAGCTTTAAAGACATTTAGCATCTCACAGACATCTGCTAAACTGAAAATGGGTAGCAACACTAGAATCAAGAATTTCTCAGTAACAGGAGTGAGCTTAAAAGTGCAATCATTATGCTAGTCTGTTCCAGGCTGTATAATTTTATTTTTAATTATTATTTGCCTTCAAAAGAGCACTTTGAAGTGCTACTGAGATAAAAGCCCTGATGAGATAGGCAAGGGACAAATTTGTAGTGAAAAGCTATCCCTGATTAGTAATAGTTTTCAAAGCTGTTAAATACATTTTGTGGAAGTGCTTCTATTTCATGTCAAATATGATGACCTATCCTTCTGGATACTTATATTTTTATTCCTTTGTGTATGTTCCCATCTACTCCTAGAACTGGATGAAAAAATATGAGCCATTATAAGGCAAGAATCAGACTGTGGATGTGATTCCTTCCTACTTTAAAAATATTTTGGTTGTCAAAAATTCATAAACCTTTCTGCTTTTCTTACCCCTACACATGACAAATAATGCAGCTTTTACATTAAACTAGGATGTTGCACTCCTGTCTTTTATGTTAGTATATTTACTAAACTGCAGCACCCTTAAAATGAGTTTAGAGTCATTTGCTTACTTTTAAGGTATTCTAAAAGACTTCCATATCTCATCAGCTCGGTAATAATATAAATTGGGTCCTCCAAAGTGCAGACAGCATAAAGCTGTATAAGCTTTGGATGTCTCAAGTTCTTCATTATTTGTGCTTCCCTCAGAAAGTCTTTTGGATCCATTGAACCTGAAACAACAGCATATAACAAAACCGAGGTTATTAAAGGGCTTTCTACCAGCAATCTTAAGCAAGTAACTGATATTGTTTTCTGGTTTTGAAAGTACATTAACATCTCAAATCTTCACAGTTCCCACAGAAAACAGATAGTGTAGCTGAAACAAACATTTAATGAGTGAGACATGCCAGTTGTGTAGGGACAGAGAACATATGTGTCCCAACCACCAGAAATATAAAGGCTAAAATCAACCACCCCCAGGGCTACCACAAACAGGAAAAAAAAGCAAGGCTAGAATGTTAAGGGATACATTTTAAACCATCAACTGGTTAATGAAAGGATCAGAAACTGAGGTGAGAGTGTCTAGGTAATGAACACAAAATTTCTGAGAGAAAAATAGTGCTGCAATAAAAATTTGTTGCACTATATTTTCAGCTTCACCAATTAAAGCCTGAAAGCACTGAAATCAGTTTAGCATATGCAGAGATGGTGTGTGCATTTTATATATACAAAAACAAATAACTATTTATAATGATCATGCAATAGCAACCCTATCAGTAATACCAATGTATGCACAGATGTAACATTAATTTTATAATCCCTTAAATACCAAAGTGTCTTAGCAGCAAATGACACCAACTTTTTAAGTGTTACATAAGATCATAACATCTCCAGTTCTATTCATATATATAGTGAACCAATACAGAAACTATGTCAAAGAAGCAGTCAGAAGTGGCACAGGAAGCTAGTCATGGCAAATGTAAGATTAAAGGTCATGTATCCTGAATAGGGGATTGATTAGGAAAACATGAACAAATAAAAAAATCAAAGCTTTCTAGATGAATGATCCAGTAGTGATCAGATATTGCCAGGTGTTTGAGGAAGCTGGTGAATAATATCTCCTTCAAAATGCTTGTACATGCAAATGTGAAATTATTTAACTACTCACATGTCTCCTTCCTCCCAAATCAAAATACTTTAATTAAGAAAATATTGCAGTTAAGATTGGAGAGGAAAATATCTAGTTACCCAACTTATTCTGCTCTATGCCATATTTAAAAACAAACTCATCTTACCCAGCAAGCAGACTAAGTAATTTGTGAAGCCAAGGTTGCAAGAGTAAGAGTCTTTATGGTTGCTTTTTTTAATATTAGGTAATCTATAAGGTTGATTTGGGAGTTTGATTGTGTTCCAAACATAGATGTTTAAATTAAGTGAAATTCTTGGAGGATGTTAAATGGCTCAGCAATAAAATTCCAACTGATAATCTAAAATAAATAAAAAGGACTAGAAAATCAGCCTGTTCACCCAACATCTACCTTAAATGCCACCTCCTGAAAAATGCCCCAGGCTATTTCCCAAAACATAAGAAGGATGTGTGATTTCTTATCCTCACATCAATACAAGAGGAAAAATTCAGAAAAGCTCCTGACATAGACTTTATGAAAAAAGAGCCACTTGACATTGCTACTTGGGAAAGCAAAGATTACATTGCAAGGAACAGGTACTCCTCACTTCCATTTCCTCATACTTCCCTTGGCAATCCCATATTGCCCAATTTGGTGAGACTTCATAGGATGTCATGAGGAGGAGGGGAGAAAGTATTTGGATTTCCATCAATAAATGGCAAGCAGCCAATTATACATCTCCTCAACAGGTACAAGCTATACTCATTTTCTTTATTCACTGTCAGAGGAAAGTGGGGGCCTTCACAAATTGTAAATGATCACATCTGGCCTGGATAAAGTAGAGATTGTGACAGGGAGAAAACCCAAAATATCTGTGATGCTTACTCTACATCCTTTTCTTGTTTAGAACAGTACAATGTTTACAGATTTACTCAAACTTTCCACCAATTGAAGATTTAAAAAAATAATTTATAGGGTTGTCTTTATAGGGTTTAGACTCACTTTTATATTTAGTTAAAATTTTACCCCATTTGCTTACTTGTTTCAAGATATATGCATTGTCATAAAAATCAACCTAAAATCTACAGCAGCATGGTGTGAAGCATTCTGCCTCCAGAAGCAAATGCATCAGTGTGAATTATGATTTAGCATCAGTGCCAAGATTTGACAAGTTGATCCTAAAAACGATGAACTACTTGCTCACTTAGGGTCTACCAAATCATGGACCCTCTATGGATCATTATACAGGATTTCTTCACACCATAGAATTTGACAGTCTGATTTGTTCCCACCATCAAAGTTTGCCTACAAGGAATTTCTCAATTTAATCATGCTATAAACTTCTCCCAATAAACTGAAACCAAGCAACATGTTTTTCAGATATGACAACTTTCAATAAATTGATCAAGAAGGAAGTTTTCCATTAGCTGAATAGCTGCAAATCTTTTTCTACACTGTAAAAGCAAATAACAGTGACAATAATGATAACAAACCAGAAAAAGATCAATAAGTATTTCCTGCATGTTTTACAGAGCATATGTAACCTTCAGTTTTACTTAGTTTATATCTTTAAATAGCACAAGTAGTAGACAGTGCCCCAATCCCCCACAGCCTTGTAGATCTTATATTGTACTTCATAAGAAGATTGGATGCCAACTGAAAAAAAATTAAAAGTGTCTTTATGAGTGTTCTGCCTAAGAATATGTCTCAGCAACTGAATAAGCAAATTAAAAACTGTCTCTGAAAGAAACCAAACATGCTTGTTACAAATTAGTTGGATAAAGCCTGTCACAATAGTGGCAAAGAATTTACAGTACATCCCTTTGAGGCAGGAAACACAGGCCAAATGGAGTTTCAAATAACTGAGGGGGGTTTAACTTGTAGTTGAATATGCATGTTTTTAATGAAATACACATTTTCACCTGTTAGTGGTAAACACAAGATAAAAAGCAGGTTACAGTAAGTAGAAACGACTTGGTCATAAAACAATCAGTTAACATAAGCCTTTATTGAAACAAGTGGAGGTTTCTTTTGTGTAAGATACCAGTTTGGGAGTAAATTTATCAGGATCTGAAGAAAATATGGTCTTGATAATCTATGTTTTGAAAGAAAAATGTTTTTCTAAATGTCAAAGCCATTGTCCAGAACAAAATGTTGGAATCTCTTCCTTTGAGATGTTCTATGTTGTGCTGCTTTGCCAGGAATCACCTGTAATTTAAGCCTACTTAAAACAGATATATCAGTTCTGATTAACTTATCTTTGAAAATATTTTGTTCAAGATCTGAGGAAGCTTCACATTCTAAAATAAACACTGATAACCTGGAAATGAGTTAGAGAGGAAGGTTAGTTATTTTCCAGATTCTACTTGCCTAAATGTAAATGGCCCTTAAATATTTGATAAACCCATCACAAGACCCTTTGTTTGTAACTTTTTAATAAACCTTCCCAAATTGCTTCAAAGTACCCTTGTGTTTCAGAAGAACCTAGACCTCTAAGATAAGTTTATAGAAAATTAATTTATGTGGAGACTGCATTAAGCATATAACTATGATCTTCTGAAGAATTTTATGAGTAATAAAGAAATAAAGTTTAAAAACTAAGAATTTGGCAACATAAGAAACTAGAATAGCCTATTCATATTAACAGATGAATAATATACGTTTCTGGATGTTCTCAAGCAGCTTTGTCACCCTACAGAAATAAACTTACATATCGGTGTAAGACCACATACTGAATTAAATGGAATAAAAAAATCTCTTTTGTTTTCAGGGAAACTGGGGTACTTCTCTGAGTGCAAAGCTTTTTACACTGCATATGTATTAAAGAGATGAAAAATTAGAGAAATTAAAATGTTATGAAAAACTCCACTGACAGTACCAACCCAGACACTATTTTGGAAAAACCTACTGAAAAAAAAAATCATGCTTGGACAGTTTCCATGCAGAGAGAAGCTTGGGAGATGCTTTACAATGTGATAATGACAAATGTATGCGTCAGCTTCAACAGGCATAAGGAACTTTATCAGATACAATTAATTGGTGATGATAGATGTCTGCTTCACTTGCTGACAGCTGGAGAAGCAAGCTAGCCCAGACAATAGGTTCTAGAAAATCCATCACACTCAACATAGGACAAAGTGCAAATCCCTGCTGCAATGATTTCCACTTAAATAAAAAAAATCCAGTGTCTCAGTGAAGAAATAGAAACAGAAATGTGAAATGACATGTTCAGGGACCTGCATCAAGATAGTGCTATGCAGAGGCAAAAGCAGAAATAGTAACTGCTGGTTTCTAGACTGTTTTCCTATCTACTGATCCCTGCATCTCTTTGAAAACTATGGGTCAACAGCTCAAAAGTCAGAGGCAAAGATGCTCTTACGTTTTGTTTTTTCATTCACACATTCATGGCTATGGCTGGTAAAATATCACACATGTCTCCAAAGCAGAGACAAGTGAACCAGTGGACAAATAAGAGAATTATCTGAATGAAAGCATCTCATTACTTTTGCTTTCTGTATACAGTCACACTGATCAACAGATTGTAAAAGGAATAAGGAGAGGTAATGGGCAAGACATTGACAATGATATTTGAGAGCAAAGAGTGGAATGATCTCAGATATTTTCAGTTTTATAATTGTGCTGGAGGGACAAGGGGTGGATTGTGTGCAAAGTCAAATTGTTGACTTTGGTTTTGTGATTATGGTGTTTTGCTTTTGTTGTGGAGAATTCTTTTTCTGGACATAGGATTTGAGGTGTAACCTCACCAGCACTGAGCAGAGAGGGACAATGGTCTCCACCCTGGTCTCCCTGGCCTCACTATTGCTGATTCAGGCTAGGATGCCATTGGCATCATTGATTTTAAGCCTTTTAGTAGCAATAGCTAGAGATTAGTTTAAGTCCAGAAAAAAATTGTTTGAGAAATGAGAAGGACACTATATAACAAGAAACTGCATTTAGCCTTTCTAAAGACAACTGAAAATTGGTTAAACATGAATGGAAAGAACAACTAATACATTCAAATAGGCTTTTATTTTATTACAAGACATAGCAAAGGTTAAAAAGAAGACATCATGAAAATTCAAATGTGAAATTAGGTGCAGATTCTTACAGTTCCTTCATCTTAGGACTAGAGGACTTCTCATTATTGTGTAGTCAAGAACAAGCTGTGTTTTGATTAAATATAAATGCTAATCTCAGCAGAGGGATGATGCGTAATGGCATATAACAGTAAAGTATTCTGACTATATATGGTCTAGAACACATGTACAGTGCAAAATAATGCTCAACAGAAAACCCCAAAGTTACAGAAATCCTTTCTGGCCTTAAGACCTATGAATCTATGACATTCTGATTGCATTATACTCCTATCTATTGTTCACCAAGTGATTGCCCTTGATCAACCTGCTCCTGCTTGGTAATAAGAGCATTGTTCCATTTCACAATTTCTCTGGTGGTAAAGCCTTTTTAGCAGAACTCTTTCCATCTCAGCCCCTTATATTTGTCAGATCACTTTGAGTTTAACACATTCCTCTGTTTTTCTGATGACTTGCATGCCCAGAGAGTCTACACTGTAAAACAGCTTAGTGAAAAATCTGTAGTTTAAAATACACTCCCTCCTGCCCCAGTGTAAAGACAGGAGATTTAGATCTTTGAGCCAAGCTACAGGAGAGGTGTATTTTACAGTGTGTTACACTTGAAGCCTGAAACATTGCTTATGTGAATATTGGAAGCTTCAGTGATCAACACTATTTATTTCTTGATTACTCATTAAGTATTATATTTTTCATTCATTTGTCAACTTTATGTTATGGTGAATGAAATTACCAACCCTACCCTTTGCTGAAATTTTATTAGTACCAAGATAAACATTTATTACTCAGATTAGGGTGAGGGTATTGTGGTTTGTCTTTAATTAGTGAAGTGTTATTCCTCATGAGTAACAATGAGAACAAGCTATGTAAAACCAATGTGCTGATTACTGTAAGAGACTCCAAATGCCTTTCTCTATATAGTGAAAAAAACTTATAGAAGAGGATTATTCCCTGAAGAAGTGATGCTACAAGGTTAATTGCTTACATTTGTGACTGTTTGAACTGTTTTTGTAGAATGAGATCGTTCACAAAGTACAGTGATAAGAGATTCAACATTAACTACATAATTTATCAAGACAGCTTTGGGAATCAAAGTCTTCATTCTGAGCAGCACTATGTGTGACGTTCGGCTTCCTTATCACAGTGTTAGGTCACAAACTCTCTGCTATCCAAGCATTGCATCCAGGTGGGGCTTCTGTCTGCCCTAACTCAATACAACCCAGCATGCAATCAGTGAAACTACTGCTGTTGACCTTAGCAAGAGTCAGACTAAAGTGGAAAAAACGGAGATAGAAAATTATTGATTAATCGAGCCCGTTTTCCCAGGTGAACTATGATACTAGAAAAAGAATCACAGTTGAAGGAGTTTCTTCCATTATACTGCCCTAGTCTATACCTGATAACAAGTCTGCAGTGAGTCTTCTGTTTATTCCAGTGAAAAAGAGATTTCAAGCTGGTTTCTGTTTGCTGAGTCACTAGGGAGATGCACCTGTTCACTGAAAAAAGTATTGTCTTTCATATGAATTATAGAAGGTCTTCAATCTGAATAGATTTCATATTTTCAGTTAAGCAGAAAAAAAAAAAAAAAAAAAAAAAAAGGGGGCTTATTTTCTTTCAGTTTGCATGTCCCAAACCACAAAAGATATCCTGATACAAGAGAGCCTTGAAACATATGCTTAAATTCCTCCGTGTTCGGTAGACCATTCAAGCAGTGCTCAAGCATATTGATGTTATATTGAATCAAAGGTCTGAATCTGTTCTGCTTCCTGAATCAGGTTCATTAGTGCCCAACACAAGCTTTTTCAATTAACCACAGCTCACATTGTTATCTCTTTTTTAAAAACATGTATATCATCCAAGTTACCTCTCTTATCTATGTGGTTCTTGCCATCTGCTGGCAGATATTTTATGTTGTCAATTGAGAATGCACAAATTACTTGAAGTTAATGAAACATAATTAAGAAAAATGCTAAAAACTGTATTAGTCACAATCTTATATTACATGCAAATAGTGAGTATAAATGTTGTGAATCTAAAACTTTTAAAAATTAAAAGCAATACTAGGATTAAAGCACTCCTTAAGTACAAATTTAGCATAGTAAATATTCTATACGACGGAAGAAATCACTGTAGTATAGCACCTAATCCCCAGAAAAACCCTACAGATGACAAACTGCTTGCAAATCAATTACTTCACCTACAGATTATTCAATCTACAGCAACTCATTTCCACACAAACAATACTATAAAAAATAGGTACAACTCTTGTTGTGGTTGCCTTTTCATGTGATACAGATGTTGAATTAATTCAGCTCATCCAGAAACAGAAAAATGTATAAAATTCTCATTCAAAATACCAAAGAGTATCTAGACCTAGAGCTTTACTAATCTTCATGTCTAGGTGTGCGGATTTTAAGAATGAATGCATATATACAGATAGGCTCTTACACATAGGCAGCATTTTAAAAGTAAAGGAGTACTCTTGCTAATAGCTCATTAACATTTAAGAATAATTCACATACCTGGTTTTAATGTTTTGATTGCCACAGGAGTGGTGTTATTCCACAGTCCTTCCCATACTTCACCAAACTGACCAGATCCTAATTTTTTCACTAATTTCAGAGATCGTCGGTCTATCTCCCACTGATCAACAGTTTGGTAAGATAAATCAAAAGTAGTAGGAGTTTGTATCTCATAAAAGAAAATAAATAATAGACGTCAACAACATATATAAATCACTGTTAACTATTTCATGTAAAGCTGGAACAGATATAAATAATGTTTCCTTAGAATATACACATGCGATAAAGTGAGCCAAGAACATAAAATACAACCCTCATACTGGGTGCTCTTTGTTAGAAATTAGAAATATGCTAAAGAAGTCCTCCCATAAAAAGCAAACATTAGAAATCATCCCTCTAGCAAGGTTTTTGAACAATGACGTGTTGGTCACCAGAACCTTGTGGTTTTGCCTCAGTAATTACATATGGACAGCTAGACTTATGAAGCTGGAGATTTCATTTCCATATGTATTTATAAAAAGGTATTCATAAATCATGATTGGCATATTCCTCCCCCCTCCCTCCCCACCCAAAAACTTGGCGATTTTTTTTCAAAATGGCATGGTACTTTATTATTAATTTTTCAAACGTAAGAATGAAACTGTAACACTGCCCAGAACTTCCTGAAAACAAGCCGATCATTAACATTCTGAAATGGTGGAAGTAGATATGGGGTCAACACATTCTGACAGATATCTGATGAGTTAGCTCACAAAAACTAGTTTGCACAGTGTAGCATCCACGCCATACCTTTAGGCATGGTTGTCCGAGCAACACGCAGAGGCCATCACTGTTCTTGCTGTAATAGTCGACCAACTCATTCAAAGTTTTAAAAGTTTTCCTTCTGGTTAGGAAAAAGCTTTCATCCATCCTTTTGATCCTGTAGTGCTTCACAGATGTACCATCAAAAACTAAAAAGATTTAAATATATTAAATTTCTAGGAAGTATTGAAGTGGTACAATACCCAAACCACCATAATGTTCCTAAATACATTTATGAGAACCTTAAAATAAATTGTTTTTCCAAATATGACAGCTATAAAAAAGCCTCTTTCAAACCAAAGCCCATTGTTCAGATAGCTTAAAACATCTTGTCTATCAGTCTTCAGCTATTCAGATTTGGAGATTCTCCACCAAAAGAACTGATTTAGAAGTACATAAATATATCTTCTGTGAGGCAGCTCATGTTTCCCATGTTTGAAGACACCAAAACCAGTCAAAAGCATCTAACTGACGGCAATCATTTAGCCAGTTTTTAATATTTTCTTTATCCTCCTTTATTTTAGTGTTGACATTCCAAATAGCAGCTGCTGGGCTGGCAGGCACTTTAGAGGAAGTAGATATAGCCTCCACATAGCCACAGTTCTCTGAAAAGTAGAAAAAAATCTTCCAAGGGTTTTTTCTAAATTTTGTGCATGTTTGGAATATGTAAAAATCAGGTGAATAATGCTGTGTTTCAGGTAGTTGATTAATTCCCTTCCCTGGAATGTTTTTTATTCTAATCTGTTGTGTCTTAACCAATAAGACTATTCCTCACCTCCTGTAAGTTATCTGCTTATCATGACAGCCAGTGTCCCTCCCTGTGACCATTGGAGCACTCCTTAGATATGTCAGAAAAAAGGCTGGGCCACTGCCTGCTGGGGCTAGACACTGCCTGCTGGGGCTAGACACAGACCAGCACAAGATCTAAGAGAGACAAAAATGTATATAAATCACACACACACACACAGAGACACACGCACACAAAAATGTTTGGAGACCACTGGTTTAGAGACTTTTACAAATGAATATCAGTAGAAGCAAGAGCAGGCTCAGAATCATCAGAGAGGGCAGTTCAGAAGAGCTGAAAAAGTATTCAGTCACTTATGTGGGTGTAATTTCCTAGACCCTCCATTATTTAGACATCACTGTCCATGTTCAATGGGCAGTAGAGAGTTTATATTACATACAGAAGGGTAACTGATTTTGCTCCAAAGAAGTCTACAGCTGTTAGCTCTAACATTAACAGTGTTACACAATAAACCTAGAAGTAGATTCTTTATACTGTGCCTCTGTGTGCATCTTGGTAATAGCTTTGGTTATAATGACAGAGGAATATGTGGTTACACAGTATGTGTAGAAAGCATATAGGATTGGTTGCATGAAATAAGTAAAGCTGATAGGAAGAATAATTTCTCTCACCATCTAAGTGATGAAATCAAAGAGGAAATCTCTCCTTCCTTAAATACTCTTGTGGATGATCAAATATTTTTGCACTGTACTGTGCGATTGTCATCCAAGACCACCAGAGAGCAGACAGGAGCTTTTCAAAATACTCCACCTCAGGTAGTCTTTTTAGGAATCTGGGAACTTACGACTCTGCATGAGGACAGGAATGAGAATATTTGTAAACAAAATCCATATTACATTGCACTTTTCAAATTATATTCTTTTTGAATTAACACCCATAATTACTACTTTTTAACTCTAAAATTTATGAATGCTTTTGTGACGTGTCATTTGGAAATGGTGCTAAAACAAAATGAAGGAAAGAGTAATTCAGTAATGACAGACTGAAAATGTAATGACTTTTCCAAAGTTCACAGGAAAATTAATCCAGACAAATTAATTAGTCTTTATGATGCATTGAACAAAAGGCCAACAGGATGACTGTGTTAATCCAGTCTCAGTTATATATCACAAGTAATAGCAGTTTGACTACTTGATTTATTTATTAGCAGTATTATAACTATTATTTGTGAAGTAGCTAACATTAATAATGCAAGAGTTGGTTTGAAGGATGCGCTCTAATTTCTTAAATGAGCCTTTTACAAAGCCTTATGATTGACAGCATGCAGGTCAGGTGGTGATTTGTGTGGAGAAGCTGGAGAAAATTTCTGCACTGATAATGTCTCAAAATAAGTAGCTGAGATCAGTGCAGTATTTGACAGGGGGTTGTTTACTTTTATTTTAGGGCTGAGTTTGGCTGTATAAGTCCTGCAGCACACAATTGGAGTTCTGCAGCACAGTGTGGCTCCTCTGCCAAAATTATACAGAGCACATATCACTCAGGAAAAAACTATCCATAACCCCTTCCAGTCATCTCTACATCCATGCCAGACTACTAACCAGGACAGGATTGTAATTTCAGTCTCACACAGCTTGACAGTAACTGGGTTTGAAGACTGCAGAGGTTTTCTCCTCAACTTGCCCTTTCCAAAAGAATTACAGCTCCCCATTAGATTTCTACATGGTTTCAGTCTAGCAAAAGGATTATCCTCTCCCAGCTATCCTTCTTCACATGATAGATTAAGCAGAAGTCGATTTTGCCACCTGAAGAATGTGAATAAAATAATTTACTACTTCTTCCCCAGGGCACAAAAATTTATGGTGGCATCAGCAGAGTCCACACCTTCACCAAATGAGTCATGGAGACACTAATGTTCCATTACTGCCAAAAACAACGTGTCCCAACACAGCTCCTGGGAACAGCCCTCCCCCAGCACTCGCCATGCAGCACTGCCACCGGCACCTTGCTCTGCCTCCATGCCCAGAGTGGATGTGAGAGGAAGGTGACTCATGAGATCACTCTCACCAGCACAGAACGGGTGCAGAGGCAGATCCAAGATCATCCTTGTGGCAGTGGTCACAAGGGTTTTGAGGATGAGAGAGAAGTGAGAATGTTGATTCTATGTTCAGAAGGCTTGATTTATTATTTTATGATATATATACTACATTATAACTATACTAAAAAGGAATAGAAGGAAAAGTTCTCAGAAGGCTAGCTAAGCTAAGAATAGAAAAGAATGATTAACAAAGATCTGTGTCCCAGCAGAAAGCGAGAGCAGCTCTGCCATGAGTGGTCAGCAAATCCAAATATCCACAGGAGATCATTCACGGATCCACCTGTTGCATTCCACAGCAGCAGATAACCATTGTTTACATTTGTTGCTGAAACTTCTCAGCTTCAGCAGGAAAAAATCCTAAGAAAGGATTTTAATGAAAAGATGTCTGCGACAATCCTCTTTGTTACAGCCGTGATTTCGCCAGTTCTATGAATCTGCTGCCTTAAACAACTACCTGTTTTTCCTACACTGGAAGCCAAGAGGAAAACACACAACATTCTTTTAGGAGCATGGTAAAAATAGCTGAAGAAAACACAAAGCATTTACATTGTTATTTAATGCGATAAGTCTTTCAGATACCATTATTCAGTGATGGGCTAAGTACAGAGCCTCCTGCTATCATTGGCAATGACACTCAATTAAGCTGAGCACATGTAAATTATGGCTTTTAATTAAAATGAGGCAACATCTAAGATGGCACCAACATGTTTAAAATTTAATACATTTCACACCAGATGCTGGAGCTATCAACATAAAAATCTGTCGACAACATGTGCATTTTTAAAATGGAAAAACCTATTTTTGAAATGTCAAACACCCTAAATTTATAGTAACACATGTCAGGGGCCTATCTGGCTTGATGAGACTTTCCATTTCACTATTCACAGATGATAAAAACCTTTCTGAACATGAATTTTTGTTTTTAATTTAAATAATTATTTATTATCCAAATCTTACAAATTGAGAGTTTTCCCAACAAGGCAATTTAGAGGTAAAAAATGTAATTTTCATGAAAGATTGAATTTTTTAATTTTTTTTTTTTTTTACTAAGGAGATCACTTGTCTCCATTAACATTAAATCTTATATATCTCATTGTCCATATGAGTATGAAATCAAGCACAAAAGTCATAAAATCAGTTTATGGGTTCTTGGGTAACAGAAAAAGAAAATCCTCCTCTTCAGCTTCTTTTTTTACCTAAATGGCATGCTGGATGAAGAATTAAAATATTTCCTTAGAGATCTTAATTTTGAAAGCCAGGTTTTCTCTTCAAGCCAATATCATCTACTCTGCAATGAAACCAAAACAACAATAAAAGCTAGAGCAAAACCAATCAGATCTACAGAATATGGGACTTTTGAGGTCTAATGTTTCTGGACTGAAAAAAATTTGAAACAGAAATTAGAGACACATTCCAAAATATTGGGCTGGGACTTCTCTCTTGTCAGTGTATCAGCTACCACAGAGATAGAAGCCATCCTTCTGCCTCAGCTTTAGTGTCTCATAGTTCCTATTGATGGCACAAACAGGAAAGATGCAGGAAAATCTCTCTTCTCCGTAGAACCTGGTGAACTGAACTACCTTCTTTCCTACTAATGCTTCTCACAACACAAACATTTCATTGTTTGCTTTAGAATGCACTAGCTTTCCAAGGAGTCAAGAGTAAGTAATGAGATTACGGACACAAAACATCTAGACCAGGATGTATACTATTAGTTTGGGAGCAAAATACAAATAGATGCCATTCATCTAAGCTGGTTCAGTAAGCAGCAAATAATTTAGCTCTTTGGGATGAAGTAACATGTTAAGGATAAATGATGTTCAACTCTGGGAAGCTACTAGAGAATACAGTGGTACTGGGAAATGATGCCACCAGTAGTGTTTAGAGATTGCTTCAGTTTATCCTTTTTCTTTAACTAAAAGAGCACAAATGTTTAATAAATCTGAGATGATACATATATTCATGCATATATTTTCAGAGGACAAGCCATATTTGTGCATGAAGGAGAGCTGGCTCCTGCAGCTGGAGCCTTGTCTCTGTGTGTATTACTTTCTTCAGTGCCACTTTTACCTTCCTTAATCAAACAAACCAGCATGAAACAAACCCACACTGTTGGTTTCATGTCTTGCTCTTATCATTCATTATCAAATCTCCTCAAATAAGCTTATAAAAAACGTAAAAAATTGTCTACCACAAGCTTTCATAATTGAATCAAATATACTAGATCAGCTGGAATAAATTTTCTGTCCAAAATTTGTAATGAAAAAACTAAACAGCAGCATTAAAGAGTGATTTTATACCACTACAAATGCTGGCCTAATATTTATTTTTCATTCTCTTGAATTTTTCTCTAGTTTACCTGACATACTTCTACTTTCCTGTTAGAGAAGTGGTTAGGATGCAGGATAAATAATTAATATTTTAAATCTTTCCTAAAAGGAGAGAGAATAATAAAAAGGATTTGCATTTCCACCTCCAGGTGCACAAATGAAAGACTTTTCATTGACTTTTGGTAATGTGCCATGTATTTACATGTCATCATTAAGAAGATAATACAGGTTTGTCTTTCCTTCCCTGCATAACACCATCCTAGCCCAGTTCTTGGATGAAATCAGCTCACTGATGAACTTGAAGGAAGCTGAAACCATGTAACACAGCAATAAGTTGGTACATGTAAAGAAAGCATTTTGAAAGGTCTGTGGCTGTAATACAATCCTTGGACAAAAGTGTGCACACACCAAGAGCTCAGGAGCAGTCTGATTCCTTGCTAAAAGGTAGTTTTCCTTTAAGTACTTCATGGCAAGGACCAGCTTCCTTGAGGGCAAACTGAAAACTGTGGATTAAACTCTCCCAGTTCTGTAAATATCACATTTATTTCAATAAACACTCCTGTATTTCACATTTCTTTGTCTTGGCAATAAAAAGCATTCCTCACATTACCACAAGACACTGCAGGTACACACACTTTAGTTATAATTGGGAAAATGGAACCAAGAATATGTTTCTTCACAACTTAAGCTGTGTTTCTGTGTAGGTTCAGAAGGTGAGTGACACATAATCATCCAGGCAAAAGAAGAGTCAATATGAAAAAATCTTGTTATGGACAAGGTGCCTCTCATTTCACATAATTCTGCACGTGACTACTCATGTTTTATTCACAAACATCACAAGTCTTTCCTGGCTCTGGAATTAATATAGGTAGAACATATCAGGAAATTTAGGTGCATAGCCCTGTTGTCTCAGGGACAACACTACACTCGTGACTCACAGTATGACAAGTTTGGTGGGAAATGTTCACTGAAAACAAACAATGAACAATCGCATTTACTATCTAAAATTGCAAATATTTACAACATGAAAAAATATGATGTTCTTAAATGTGAGTTAAATTATTAAGGAATAAGTGTCCTAATTTGATAATCATTCAGATTCAAATAAAGGACTTAAATTTCAAAATGCATCATTTTTTGCTGAAGTTTACAGTGAAATTTTCAATGAAACATCACTGATTCTAAAGCATAACTTTGAAGACCTTCCCTTGATTTAGTCCCTGAAAAAAAAATATAAACCTAAATGTGAGTTCTAACAGAAATCTCCTTTTCTAAAATTTCAAATATCTGTCAACGTGCTTTTGTTTTTATTTTTGTTTTGTGTACTAATCAGAGCTGTAGTGTACAATTTTAATGTAATTTTTTATGCTTTGGCCATGAAAATATACTAAGGCAGCTAGAATGCTGTAAGTACTAAGCATAAAAAAGTTAATTTCTGTTCTGAGTATATTGATAAACCAAGTCTATAAAATATAAACTCAAATTACTTTTGCCAAGTTTTCTTTATATATCTCCTGGGAAAAAAACCAATTATTATGAATTTAATTTCATTTTCATGCCCACAGTTTATTGTTCTTGAAGAAGAAAAAGCCCAGACCACCTGAAAAATTTTTAAAACATTGCTTCAGATGAAAAACTAGAATATACCTGAGAGTGCGTATTCGCCTTTTAGACTTTCGCTTTCTCGGATTAGGAAAGCTCCTTCCTTGTTTACAGGGTACAACAGTTGTCTCTCGGCATCTGCTCGTCTGATTGGGCCAAAGAACCATCTGAACAAATAAAAACCATTAATTTTACCACTCAGTGAAACATACCAGGAAGACAGTTTAGCTTTTATAAACATGCTGCATATTTACTAAGAGATAATCTGTGCTATGTTAATTAAATGTCAATAGTAGGGGGGAAAAAGCCAACAAGAACTAGAGAACAAATTTATTGCTAGAAAACATCACACATTTGAGTGAAATCTGGATTTTATTGCTGATGAAAAGTCTTACTGCTTTCAAGGCAACAAGCATTCAGAAGTGACAGACAGGCCTTGTCCCAGAAAAAATCACCAAGAAAATTTGCCAAGGCTACAAGGGCAGAAATTGATGCCAAATCTATTGATGCCACTTGAACTAGGTAGAGGTGCAGGTATGTGCTAACAGCCCAACATCTTAAAAGACAAAAGATCTCTCAAACTGCAGAAGGGTTCTCAGATTCCAGGATGTAAATCACCCTGCTTCCCCATTCCACTGCCACGTCAATCCCTCAGAGGAGTTACTGGCAATTTTCAGCTTTGCTGCTTTTTGACAAACAAAACCAGTGTATCCCTCAAGTCACTACAAAAATCTCTACACCTGTGTTCTCTGAAAATCTACTCTGATCTATGGTTTTTAAAACATTTTTCCTCACTAAATCCTGTAGCTCACAAAGGTTTGTTCAAGCAAAAATTTTAATTTGCTCCTTTGAAGATAAGATTTAGGTCTCTTGCTGCTTTGTGCCGAGTTTAATTTAAAGATAAATAAGACAAAGATGAGTCAGCATTTTCAGCTGGGGTGGTGTTGAGCTTCCTTCCAGCAAACAGGCAAAGCTCTTACCAAGATTAGCTCCACCTCTTATTTGAAGCAAATGATGATAAATAGGCATCAGAAAGATGCCACAAGCTCATAGGAGAATTCCTTTTAAATTAATCACAGCTAAAACTATTACACAAACTTCAAATATAAATTAATGCACCACAAGTATGTTGCCTACTTGATTTGTAAATTACTAGTGAAAAGTACAGACAGAGTCATCAACAAACTATTTTAGTATCTGCAAGGCTTGTAGTCATCAACAGGAATGGAGGAAATAAATGAGAATATTGGATGATGCCTTAGCTGATCAAGCATGAGGACTGAAAAATGGGTTTGTATTAACAAAGAGGAAATAAAAAGAGGCAAATGCAGACAGCACCAACCCACGCTGAATATGCTTTATTAACAGAAAATGAAAAGAAAATTGAAGACAGATTTTTCCAGACCACATTCCTGTCCACTGAGTTGAAGATGATTTGGATAAAATAGGTCTTGATACATATTTGGCAAGCAAAGTAATCTCACTAGAAAGCTGTAATGTGTTAGAAGTAATTTTAATTAGTTAAATGTGTTCATTAATTCAACTAATTAATTTAATTAATTCTTTCATTAGACTGCAGAAAACTAAGTAATCAATAAATGTTCAAATCCTTGACTAAGGAGTTCAAGTACAAGAGTACTTGAGTTCAACTGTATTCAAGTTGCAAAGAAAATCTGTCTGCCCTAAAATCTAAATTAGAATCTTTCTGAAATTTCTAAATATACCCGCTCTGAGAATAACATCTGAAATCCAACAAACTATATGAGACAAAAAAAAAATAATATTTGTCCCCTTGAAATATTAGCTATCACTCAATCATGTCCAAAGTGACTAATCCTCATTAGAGTGTATAAGAAGAAGTGTTTAATTTTTTGTGTCCTTTCTTCTTGGGTTACAAGAATAGTACCTTTCCAAAAAAATTTTATTTTGTACCAAACCCAAAAGAGGTTCCAGTGCATTGTTAGGAAGACTGGATTTGATAGCCACAGTCAAAATACAGTCTTTATGTGACTCAGCATTTGAATATACAGTGTTAGTAACTCAAACTTCTAAAGCCAAAAACTTGAGCAGTAATGCAATCTATGCAACTAGAGGAAACTGTTGGTTTATTTTGAATATATAAATTAATTACTCTGTGTATGTAAAACCATGTCTTCAATATAAACCATGATTTGGGAAAATAATATAAGTACATAAGTACATCACACTTAGGATAATTGTGAGATTTCAAAGCATTTGATTTCAAAACATTTCAGCTTATATGCTTATTTTTATTAGGCTGGAAAAACTTCACTTAAATAAATATGAAATTACCATTAAAATTTATATGGAGGATATATAATATGTAGGTTCTTACTCCAGATAAGCCTAGCAGTCAAAAATATCCTAACTTGCAAAATAATATAATTAGAGCAACAGTATTAGAGGAGGTAAGTGTAACTGAAGCAATTACAGAGGGTGAAAAGTGGATACATATTGTATATTACCTCATTTGCCTGACTTTATATGATCTGATTAAAATGTTTCAGAAAAATACAGGGAAAATTACTTTTAATAGCACTTGAATATTTGATTCTTAGTTCAAAGCCATTTGGTTTGCAATAATAATTATACAGTACCAAAAGTAATACTGAATGTGAAAAAAACAATCTCTTCACTTCAAAGCAAATAATTTAATTTGTTATTCACTTTTTTTTTTTAACTAAAGCACATCTGAATTTAAAGTACTATTTTCAGTGTAATGGAAGTTTAAATTCCTTTTATAAAGCGTGAAGAGCTTATTTCGATCTCTAGCAGTGGAACTTCTGCTTCAAAAGGCTTAATATTTTACTTCATCCAAAAGTGCGTATCTTAGGGGGAAAAGCGCTCTAAAAAGTAATAATGAATCAAAGTAATTGCTCACCACGAGATATTGCTCTGCAGGATAGGAAGTTCAGACCAAAACAACACCCAATCCTCGGTAAATCTATTCATATTTTATAGCTCAAAGACAGATGAAAGTTTTAAAACAGAACACTTGGAAAACAAGAACTAAACATGAAACACTATCCACTGAACTAGTTAAGTAACTTCTCTGACTTCAGTGCAATATTTTGGCACCAGACAGTCCAGGAGAAGTTTGAATTAGCAATTCTTACACAGTATCAGCCTGAAATTCATCTCACAGCCAGGCCACTTTGGTGGCCTGTCGTGCTGGATCAATAGATTACCAGGTATGGCACAAATGAGTGCATTCAGACTTAGGCACAACTTTCCATTTCGAGCAGGAGCTGTCTGGCTAGCACAGCAATAGTGCTCTTCTGTCAGCAAGACCTAGGAACATGCTTTCTTGGCCAACACTGCATCCAACACCACAACTCCCTAATAAGTGTAGGATGCCAGATCTGGTTTTTGGGGATTTTTTCTAGCAGCTTCCTCTAAATCCCCTGCTAATACCATCATTCATTGCTATCGGGAATATGTTACATTTTAAAAATTAAAAATTCCAGGGTACTTCCGGGTCATTTTGGCCACCTCACATAGGATGACTTTGGAACCAAAAAACATAACCATATAGGTCACAATAACAAACACAGTCCTCACTTGTTGCAGATGATGCTCAGTACTGGAGTACTAGTGAGATTTGTTGTGGCTATTGAGAACATAGCAATCACATCTGTTTTGGCCATCAGTTCCACTAGCACATTTATCATCACCATGTCACATCACGGATCATAGCAGGTTTTGTCATGGCATATTCCCTGACTGTGACAGTATCACTGCTGAGACCTCTAAAGACGTTCTAAAAACCAAGGAAATCTTCATCTAGCTGAATGATGGTGTTTATACTTTGAAGGGCAATTTTATTAAGAAACAGACATCTCATCACCTTACACTCATTCCTGCCAACCTATTCAGCCCAGTTTGAATTAAGACGGAATCATGGGCTCAAGGGAAGTTGGTAGTGCTACCTGGCTCCACCACTGCCTTTCCTGAGAAGCTTTCTGTCTTCCATGGTGCAATGTACTGCTGATCTCCATCTAAATTTCAAAGCCTCATTTACCTGGCTTTGCTTTCTGTCCCCCTGTGCTTTGCTACATACAAATCTGCTAAAATTAAAGTAGTCACTCCTACTTCTACACTTCTTATAGCAGGAAGATATGGCAGGAACTTTCAAGCTGGACAGTAGAAGAAAGGAAAAGTAACATGGGCCAAGACATAAAGCAAAGAAAAATGTGGAGGCAAAGTTCTCCAATGCTGTATCCCTGGCAACATTTCCACTGCCTGGTAACTTGCCTAGAAAAGGACAAAAGTCCTGGTGGGAAAAAAAAAAAAACAAAACCCATATATCCCCATAACAAAAAGAAGGAGTATGCAAATGAATTTTCTTCCTTCTCATTAATGCAAAATCCCCCTCTGATAAAATCTGTGCAATGCACTTATCTGAGATTGAGACTGAAGATGTTACAGATCTCAGCTAATCTGGAAACTATGGGCTTTTTCTGTCCCAAATCTAATTCTATCCAATACACAGAACTAATCTCCTCCCAAAAAAAGGATTCCCAGTCATGATCCAGATGAAAATACTCTCAGGGGAAATATATTTTTTGGCAGCCTGCCATTCCTTGGAAACCCCTTTCACAGACCCCACATCTCCCTACATTCTACCTCACTTCTTGGTCTCTCCTAAACCACTAACATGCTAAATCCTGACTCTTACATAAGGTGTGTGCTAAGCCTTAGCCAAAGCACTCCACTCATGGGCCAGACAAAATATTTCTTTGGAGATGTCACTCCCCGGGTGATGTGGGTAAGATGCTCACAACCAAGCTAAACACTGACCCTGAAATAACATCTGCAATCTTTAACTTTCTTGGAAATCTCAGCAGATTCATCAATGCTCTTTTGTTATTCCCACTGAAAACCAGCAGAGAAAATGATGCAGAAGTATTTCACCCATTTCCTTTAAGGCTCACCAGTTTCCCACTTTTACCATTATTTAGATTTAATATGTGCAGGAGAAAAGTCAGAATTAACTCTACAATGTCATATCTGAAGTCACTGAATTTCCTTTAATAAGTAGCTGTAGCTGGGATATGGGGAGATTATTTCAGTTTTTCATTCAAGTTGCAGGACATTGGAGGTAAGATAAGACTAAAAGCAGAGGTCTATGACATACTCCTAATTT